AAGACACTGGAAACTTTGAGTGCCTGGAGGAGCAGAAAGAAGAGAGCAACTGAGTGAACAAGAAAAACCACTACCAACCTTCTTTTCCCGTTCGCTTGCATACATTTTGAATAGTTCGTCAACACCGTCCACTTTCACCACTTGGGTCACCATTTCACATCCACAGTCAAATAGCAAGTCAGTTATCTCCTGAAAAAAATCCAAAAAATTAAGTACATATTGGAGCTGACTTTGCAGGCCTTGACTAATTTACACGAAATACATAACCAAACTAAAATAGCAGCAGCGTGGCCAATTTTTCAATAGTACTAATGATAGCAGTGAGAAGTAAATTGCAGGAACTGGTAACTGAGAGGCTTATGAGAATGCTTACTATGACAATGAAGAAAAATAGCTCCAAGATGATGTAAAACAGAAGAGTTAAGAATCAATTTCGTAATGGAAACCAGTAAGGGAGCTAAGCATGAGAAAATTTATAAAAATAGAAAGAGAAAAAACTTTAGAAAAAGAGCAGACGAAATTTGCATGCAAAACAAAATACATTTTTGATAACGTTATTGCTTGCACTTGTATGCGAAAACAATCCAACCGTATCTTTAACGGGCAACTGTACGTTGTACCGTATGTTTGTAATGGGAACCACTGATACCACAGAGCGTGTACGAAAAAAAGGACCACGTGTGCCATGGAGTAGGTGATAGGGCTCGCCTTCATTGCTTTTGACTTTACCACTAAAAAACACTTCACAACTATTAAATAACTCACATTCGCATCCACAGTGAGCACCGTACGAATAGTGGCCCTATTAGATGAGGTGTTAAAATAAATGCTGATGACCCCTCTTTTAGCCAGAACTCGGCGCTCAACTTCGTTTTTCAAATCCTGAAAGGAAAGCGATTTCATTAAATATATCATTCGAGAAAATTTCGAAGACGTCTTCACCTCCCACAGTTCGTCGAACTCATAAATCAACTGTTTTGACTTGCGGGAAACAAACTTGCGGTTAGTGTTGCCGCCACCACCGACGCAACTGTCACCAGCCGAAGCAGGAACAGGATCGTTCTGTTCTTTCCTGGAAAATCTAGAGATTTCTAGATCGTTTAGGACCTACTGTGTAATAACCAGGACTGCGTCGGGCCAAAGCTCAAATTCTAAAAGATTTTAATTGGGGGAAGCGGGTTGGGTTGGGATACGATACAAATACTGAGTGAAACGGCATACTCGAAAGATAAAGCACAAACGCTTGAAAATGGAATAAGAGAGAAAGAAGACGTAAATTATTTAAGAGTATATTACCTGTTACGAGCAACTTTGGCTTGTGCAGATTTTAGGCGGGAGATAATTATTAGAATGTTGTAGACGATATTCGGCGGGAATGACTTTTCAGTTGCAGCACTGAGTTTTTCTTCAAGTCCTCCAACATTGCTCAACACCAGTGCGTCGTCCGGATTTTCCGACAAATACAACAGTATCTGTAAATGAAACCAGAGAGAACAAATGTTGTCAGATGAAACTTCATAGAAGCAAAATTGTGCTGAAGCTTGCATTCCATCTGTGTAACAGATATTCGCTGAGCCACACATCTTATCAAAGGCAAAGTTTTGTCGAATAACAGTGCTTACTTTAACGAGATAAGTCATCACGACAACACGATCATCTTCCAGGAAGTTTTTGAGGACGTGCAGAATCGTTTGATCCTAAACGAGTAAAGCAATGAAGAATGATCAACCTTTTACTGCAGAACTAAAACAACTTACTTTTAAAATGAGAGGGCGGTGAGGAGGTTTGGCACACAGCTTGAGGTATGCTTTCAATGTCGAGACCACTTTTTCCTGATCAGAGTCACCCATATCCTCTGAAAGACAAAACGATTTGGAAAATTCATAATATTGGATTATGAGCACACAACGCAAACGTAAAATCGACGAGCATAACGAAAACTATTGATCTACATTTCAACTCCTTCTCCCAAAACGATCCACCACCAAATACCTGAGTAGAAGTGAAGTGAGACCTACAGCGGTCTTCTGCTTATCACCTGTAAATGTAAGATACCA